TTTGTTTCATTTCCATATAATTGAACATAAGTTTATCACTGGCCTACAGCTCTGGTTATCATCCATAAAACATGAGAAACATAAAAAAATACAATATTAATAATATGTTATTTTTTTAATGCACAAAATGTGTATGTAATGTACACATTATTATATTTAATTAATTTAAATGCAATATTTTATGGACAATGAATCCACATTTTACTCCATTTCCTGTAATGTTCCAAATTCTTAAAAATGAAGCCAGTTAAGATGAAGCAGGCTTACAAGATTGAAACTAATTAAAGCATGATTGAAAGTCTTAAGTCTTGGTCTTAAGTGGACCACCTAAGAAGCTGTTTTAATATAATATTATTTTGTTATATTGAATTAATATATACTATTATTATATTATTTTTCATTATTTTTCTTTTCTCTTTAAAAAAGGGCTTTTTTTTATGAACTAAGCAAAAATGTGTATTTTAAATAAATATTTAAAATAATAATAAGTATTATTATTATACATTTTATATAATAAAGTAATGAATTAAACTTTTTAGAATAAACTAAGCAAAGCTGCAACTAAATTTGACAGCCAGTGTTCAGCATTTGGAGAAGAGCAGCTATGACATTTTTGGTAACTTATTGTTCTACAATCATCATGTGATTTTGGAACGACAGGGTGGTAACAGTTCAAAGCAAATGGTCTGCAGAAGGTGTGACTCAGTTGGATAAATACAATTTAGCCTTATGAATGTGTGATTTCTGCTTCAGATTATTAGTTTTTTTTTTTTTCCTCAAAAATCTTGCATTTCTGGGTGTGTCCAGTTCTGTGAAACTGAATTACCATGCACTGGAATGGAGACAATTTTCAAATTCCCAATTTTGCCAAAACCTGCCGCTAGATGAGATCCACTGCATGAATGAAAGAAGGTCACTGTTGTCTGTTTAATAGTAAATCTGCCATAACCAGGTGGGCGTCTCGGCCGTGTAGGATTACAGGCTCTTATTCAGGATAGAAACCAGGTCTCTCCCTTTCTCCCCAGTGGATCTGTTTGTCATGATAGCAAGCATATTGCTTTGACACTGGACCTCATTTATACAGTCATCATCAGGTGCTCTTACACAATGCCTATGAATCACACCGGGGATCTGACACTGCCAACATCTGCTGCTACTCTTTACTAGAGGCGAAGGATTGATATGAATATTCAGTTGAACACTGAGAGAGGCAATAAACCACATAATCCTTGTTTCCACACACTCAGATGATTTACATGTTGTATAAGGACTCTCTCAGACTGGAAACGTCATGAATGTACAGATTCCATAGAGAGGTTCAGGAAGCGGATCCCGCGGGAAGGGTCAGCGCTGAGATGCTTCTGAACTTTGACCTCATAGTCATTATACATCTCCATCTCCACGTCTTTGGCCTTCTCCATGTATTTTAATTCTGTTTCATTATGTTTCTGTCTTGTTTTACCTTGCTTCGTTTTTCTAGATTTTTTAGACTTCTTTAAAATCTGTAAACATTAAAAACCCATAGTTTTAGGATTATGGCAAATTTAAGAAAAGGGTATGATGTCAAATAAATATTAAATGTTAAATATTCTGGACTAGTTCTAGGTTACTAATCACATTAGTAATGTTGTGTCGTTGATTATGTGACATGGTCAGATGTTCTTGTTTCCATTGAAGCACAAGATGCTCCTTGGAGAATATGAACATTAGCTCATCATCATCATCATCATCATCATCATCATCATCATCATCATCATAATTGTGGAGTTCATTGAGTGCCACTGTCATTAAATCAAAACAGAGGTGTACCAAATAACATTTTTTTATTATTATTATTATTATTATTGTTATTGTTATTATTATTATTTTAATCAAGTATAAAGTTGTTAGAATCATCAGTATAAAATTATTATACCGATGATAATATTATTAATGTAAAATATCTAATTAGATAGAATCTAAATAGAAGCTTTTTTTTCTTTTTTACATGATAAACACGATCAATATTTTTCACAGATTTTTCTCAGTTTTTTACTTCTGTTATCGAATTTACACTTTAGGTTGTGTTGCTTGCATTACTTATACAAAATTGTATTATTCTTTAGTGTAATATTAGTCTCTTACAGTAGACTGTTTACTTCAGATAATATATGCAGTCAAAAGTTTGGATTGTTATTCACAGTTTTTAATAATAATAATATATATATATAAAAAAAAATCATAATGATAATAATAAAAATATTTCCTGAGGACCGAATCAGTATATTAGAATGATACTGAAGACTGGAGTAATGATGCTGAAAATTCAGCTTTGCGTCACAGGAATAAATTACATTTAAAATGTTTAAATATATTTTGAATCAAATAAATGCAGCCTTGATGAACATAAAATACTTCCTTCAAAAATATTAAAAATATGTCATTTTTACAAACTTCTGAAAGGTAGTGCATCGTTTTTGACTTGGTATATAACAATATTAGGCCACACTTCCAGTTGTATTTTTATCTTACTATATTTACTTATTAGCTCACTGATTGTTCAAGTTATTTATCTTTCAGTTTTTCCATCAGCTTTCAAATGACTAGTGCACTCTTCTAATTGAAACAACGCATCTTTATTAAGATTCTTCATAATGGCATGCTTCTTCACCTTCATTTAAAAATCCGCTTTACATCAAACCTAGACCTCAGCAGAGAGAAAAGACAAACAGAGAGACGTCAGACGAGAAGGTATGGGAGCCGCATTCGGAAAGATGGAATTACATGAATTTACACCATTAATCTCTCGTTTGTCACTTACAAATCTCATTAAAGTCGAGAGTCTACTTTGTGCCTTTTCCCTACATTGACAGATATTTTAATGTTCAAAGATGCAATAATCCATCAGGCTCGGGAATATGCCTTTGCCGCAGAGGATGCCAGGATAAACATACAGAAATTAAATTTCTATTTATACGTAGCCTGGAAACCGCCGAGCGTTTGCCGGAGAATTGATGCTGCACGGAGCATCGGAGGCCAGGCTCAAGCAGTTAAAGTAATTAGCCTAACACTTGCGTTAACTAGATGGTGGATCATATCTGGCAGAACCGTTGCTGAAATGGGGACAAAATGCCACTCGGCTGCAAGCTGTTTAGAGGGATCTGCCCAATCCCATTTGAGGAGTTCTGCGTGTAAAGGCAAGCCTGTCAGAAATATGTAATGCCATCTCTAATGTGAATTGTGAGCTGATATTGTTGCAGGCTGATGTTGCCGAGTGTCTGTTTGAGTGGGTGTCTCGTTCACTTAGGTGCAAAGACTGTGACATTCCGTTACAGTGCATTTGATGCCCTGCATGCTGTGATGTTACAAAAGGTTGAAGTAATGTTGCCTTTTTGGCTTTTGGGCCTTCTTGACACTTTCGTTTAGAGAGGACAGGAAATGATGCGAGGAAGATGGATCGGGAAATGACGTGAGCCAAATTCGCACCCGCATTAGCGCCGCTCGACGTGCCGGACGACACGTGCTACCCGCTGGGCCGTGGCTTCGACACGTTACCTTGTTTAATGATCATCGGCGAGCGAATTTAGAACTTCAGTGCTGTTCATAAACTTCTTTTCCCTCAGTACTCCTATAAGAGTTTTCAAGTTTTAAAAAGTTTAGGATTTGCATTCATTTTACAGGAATTAAATGCATGTGTTTCTGAAGATTTGCCGTAATTCTTCCCTACCGCCCCCTCCATGCACGTCTGTCCCAGCCCACTGATTCACCTGGTCCTGAAAGAGCCCTGGGGCCTTTTACAAACTTTCACTGTCTCTGTCTTCCCGCCATCCCCCCTTTCTCTTGGCAAAGATATTGTTTCCACAGATAAACACGAGAGAACAAGAGAAGCTTGGCAGATCCGTAGTTCTGTGGGAACTGTGAGAAAGAAGGGACAGTGTATTTAATGAGCCGTGTGTAATCTTCTTTTCTGTGAGACTGCATTCATATCAAAGTCACTTGCAACTTTCTAACTTTTGCGATTTCTGAAACTTGATTTAACAACATTTGCCTTTTTTTTTAGTGTTGTAGGTCCATTTTACTCAATGACACTAGAATGGAGAGAAGTGGAGAAATGGAGCATGATGCAGTCTACACTTGAACTCAAACTTGAATTTCCTGCATGAGCACCACAGCTCAATGTCTCTGGTGCTTGTGCACTAACTGTTAAGCTTTGTTTTTTGAATCGGTGATTATTCTCATCAGTAATAAGTTCAAAGTGTGGACCTTTTTTCAAAGTGTTTAAGAAATGTTTACTTTAAAATGAATTAAAAACTAATTAAAATTAATGAAACCTATTTGCAGAAGTTCCTTTTTACTTCATTCTTTCCTTTCCTACTTCCATTCCACTTTCTTCATTACTTCCTTTCCCCTTCCTTTACACTTCCTTCTTTCTTTCTTTCCTTCCTTCCTTCCTTCCTATCTTGGTTTCCACTTATTCCTTTCGTATACTTCCATTCCACTTTCTGTATTCCTTATTTTCCTCTTCCTTGTCATTTCCACTTCCTTCCTTCCTTACCTACTTCCTTCCTATCTTGCTTTCCACTTCCTTTTCTACTCCCAATCCATTTTCTTCATTTCTTTTTCTCCTTCCTTCCTTCCTATCTTGCTTTCCACTTCCTTCCTTTTCTACATCCATTCCACTTTCTTCATTACCTCCTTCCCTCTTTTCAGCTTCCTTATTTCCTACTTCAATTCCAATCTTCCTTCCCTACTTTTTTCACTTCCTTTCTATCTTGTTTTACACTTTCTTTACTACTTCCTTCCTTCCTTCCTTTTCCTACTTCTATTCCACTTTCTTCATTCCTTCCTTTTCTCTTTCTTTAAACTTCTTATTTCAATTCCATTCTTCCTTCCCTACTTCCATTTCACGTTCTTTCTTTCTTGCTTTCCACTTCCTTTCTTTCCTACTTCCACTCCACTTCTTTCATTTCTTCCTTCCTTCCTTCCTTCCTTCCTTCCTTCCTTCCTTCCTTCTCTTCTGTCCTTCCTTCAGGGTTACCATTTTCTCTTTTTCTTTTCCTGCATATTTTCTGTTGTTGGTTACATTTTTTAGTACTTACTGGGCATGTTGTTGTTGATGTTGTTTTGCGGCCATTACGAGCTGAATCTGATTTTCATTGGCAGCAACCCAGCTGGTTAGATATTGTCTTTTTGATCAGAGTAAATAAGTATACTAGTAGCGCATGGCACATATCACACTTGAACATAACTCACTTATGTTTCAGATTATCGTGATATCATCTCTTGTGTATTTTACCGGGTGGTTGGGACAGCGAAAATTCTCAGTATCTTAAGAAATGTGAAGGGAATGTGAATTCAATAAACATGTTCATATGCTTCAGATTTTGGATCCCAGAAGCAAGCTGAAGAGATTCTCTTGATGGTTATATCTTTAATTGCGAAATTTACTGTGATTGATCTTGACTAGCTTTGTGCCTTGAAGAGAATGTGGTTGACGATAAGACTCAGCAGTCATCACGTCCCTGTCATGTCTCTGATCCTGCGCTTTGGAAGTAACGGAAATGTTATGCAAATCATTTCTTAATCCTTTAATGTTATTTTGTTCCATTTCTCTCTTTCATTTTTCACACTCTCATATTTTTGCTACGGCATCTGTACATTTTTAAGCAATGTTCTACCGTCACAAACACTTTGGTCACTTGCTGCAGTCGGTTGTCATTTCGTGTCCTCAAAAAATAAGTTTTGTTGATTGCATCACCAAGAAAGCTCACCTATAACAAAACACTTGATTTGTTAACTATAACATGAGAAACAGTAGTATAGTTTATTTTGTATTCAGCAGGCTGCGTGTGTACTTACTTTCACAGGAATATGGCAAAAGTAGTTCAGAGCTCACCATATTTAAGACCTCTTTGACAAAAGCTGAAGAAGACAACCAAGCCTAATTCTGGAGAGAGCGTGGAGATAGCAGATTGTGACCTATGTCTGCCGGTAGCTTTTTGTTGTCCTAAGGGTTGGTGTTTAGAAATAATAGGAAAGAAGTGGGACGGTCTTACATCCAAGAAGCTTAAAATGCAAAATCTCGAATAAGCCCAATTTTCCTCAGCCAATGGCATCGTGTTTCGGAAAGGTTTTTGTGTTGATCATCCCAAACTGACTCACGTATATCCAACCCTCCCCTCGCAAAATAAAAACACTAGAGGTTTATGTGGCTTTTCAAAAAAATGTATCTAGACATTTATCCACTTTAATCTTCTTAACATATCAAAGTCATTTGCATTACCCTGAAGTGACTGAGGTTTTTCACCGTTTTTTTTTCTCTCCCCCACAATACACAAGGACTTGGAACACCATGTGGACATTTTGTCTATGAAAAGAACACAAGTGGGCATAAGTCAACTTACTTCCATGTGCATTTGCCTTATCCGACTGGGTAACTCTTTTTTAATGTATTGTCTTCTAAAGCGTTCGCCAACTGTTGCACCATTTTTTATTTTTTTTTTGCTTTTGAACGCTTTCGTTCATATTTATCATGCATGATTAAAAAAAAAAATACATTAACACTGGATTTTAGCTGTGATTATATTCACAATAGAGCACGGCTTCACTTCTATAAAATCCATGCTAAACAATAAAAATATTTTAAAAATTGTGTATTATGTGTTAGCACTTGGAATGCTTTATTGACCCATCAGAAGTCAGGAATGGAATTGCCATTTTAAGCATTTTTCTAGCATGATGTTCATATATTTAGACTGATCATATTTTGACAAACACATGGGGTTTAACTGCAGGTCATGGTTAAGCTGTTAGATCCAGTGTCATTTCACTTGGTAGAGATGGTGTTAAACTTTTCTTTTCATTGAGGGAATCTTTAGTGACAGTAATAATATGTTTGTGAGGGCTCAGCCCTTTTGTGCTGACAGCTAAAAGGCCAGAGTCAATCTCAGTAAGCGTTTCAGTGTCTGCTTCGCTCAAACTGTTGCTTCAACTTAGCAACTGTCGCCTAACCGACTACTTTAATATGCTGAGATTGTTGCACTTTGACTATGTGTGTGTGTGTTTGGAGGAATTGGCTTGGTTGCTGAAGAACCATAATTCTCCATAGATTAGCATATTTAGAAAATACAGTACATGATGTTTGTGAATCACTGTTCAACTGTAATCATAATGACTGCGTCTTGGAACTTAATAAAGGATTCCTGACACTCACAGTCTCTCTCGCTCTCTCTACAGTTTCATGAATCAATGAGTTAAACGAGATCTGTTTTCTTTAATGATCTGGTACATTGTGTTTTTTAAGGGCAGCAGACACATGTACAGTAGCCATGTCTGACGCTCAGAGTCAGCACTATTCTTTTATCAAAGCCAATGTTATTAAATAATAGTGAAAAATGCGATATATATATAACAGCTCTATAATATGCATTTAGTCACTGTGAAAAAGAGTAATGGGATAATTTAAGACAATATAAAATGTCATTTGCAATCCATTTTTAGTCATTCCTATGCCCTATATTTTGATGTCCCTATAATATAATATTACTTTATACTAGACAAATAAAAAAAAAGTCCACAATTGTTAAAGTTGGAAATCATATTACTTGATTTTCCTTTACCACACCCTATGACAATTAAGTAAACGGCTATATTTTAAATTATTTCAGCATTTTGGTTTTATTGGCTGTTGTCATTATAGTTGTGTCCCTGGGTTTTCTGCAAATTCTGACTTGAGAAACTGACAGTTTATTAGGAATATTGCAGGTGTTTCTTCATTTTTTCCCACTTTCTTTAATCGTAATGATTCATACAAAAAGTTTTCTTAGCAGTATTACTTCAATTAATAATCTATTTATTGCTTTTTCCTGTTGTCCTCAATTTTTTTTTACTGTTATTTGCCTTTATTATGACAGGACAGTAGCTAGACAGGAAGCAAAATGTTATTGTGAAAGGTCCGCAAGCCAGGACTCGAACTCGGGGACACCCGAAGTGCAGTGGCCCTAGATGTCGGCATGCTGCCCACGAGGCTATTGGCGCCGATCTCAACATTACTTTTTATCCTGTTAGGCTTTTCTAGTCTAAAAAAGACAGTTCCATAATGACATCATTTTCCAGGAAGTGGCATCATTTTCAGTATTATCAATGGATTTTATAATTCAGTAACCTCTAAAAAATGCTGGGTTGTTTCAACCTAACTTTGGGTCAAATATGGACTAACCCAACCATTGGGTTAAATTTTTACATCAAATTTTTAAACCAAAAGTTGGGTTAGTCCATATTTGACCCAAAGTTGGGTTGAAACAACCCAGTATTTTTTAGAGTGTATGATAATATCAAAATTTCTAAAGATAAAAATGGCTTCTGGACGTCTGCTGTATAGGGTTGTGACGGTGAGGAAATTTTCCCACCAGTTAATCGACGTGTGACAACACCGGTAATACCAGTATCACCGTGGGGGCGGGGGCGGGGCGTTCCCTCTTTTCTTCGCTTTCCTTAGCTTTTAAATTGGTTGTAAATGTGGTGTGCGCATTTTACTTTCACTTTCAAATAGCGCCAATTCGGCGTAAAGCAATTGTTCGTTTGAATTTGCATTTCGTTTCGAAACTAAATCATCCGCGATTGTCTTGTCTGTCTCACCCCACTCTTCTTGTCAGTCAGCTTGACTCACTCTCCTCACTGGAGAAATGAAATCTGATCTGTGATGCGACTGTCGTTCGGCACGCTGCATTGAGCAGCCGTGTTCAGTTTTTAATTGTAGTGTCTGTTCTTTTACTGAACTAAATGATTTTTATTACTATAAAAAATCAAAACGATGGTGGGGGTCGGTGCTGCGGTGGGCAAGTGGCGTAACCGGTGTTGCGGCTTAATACCGGTATCACCGTCAGCACCGTCTATCGCGGCAAGCCTACTGCTGTATCGTTTTATAGAGATTTTATAGAGATTTTAATAGGTACTGCGTGAAAGGAATGGCCCATTTAATTTCAGTAATGTGACAACAGGAAATAATGTATGCTGAGGCAGATATGATTTTATGCTTAATGATTTGATCGGGTGAGGTTCAGCATGCTAGGTTAGGATATTATTTGTTCATTTAATTTTTCCCCACATACTGTATGTGGCCAAGGTAACTGTACTTGTAACTGTACTGGAGTAATGGCTGCTAAAAAATCAGTTTTGCATCACGGGAATAATTTACATTTAAAAAAATATTCAAATAGAAAACAGTTATGTTGAATTGTAATAATATTTCACAA